TCTCACTCTTTTGCCGTGGTCTCCTGACTGTCCTCTCTACCTCTCCCCAGCTCTGTCACTCTTGTCTGTCATACAGCTGCCATTTTAAACCTTCTAAAACATATCCAGCAGGGACCTCCCTACACCACCCGTGCCTCTCAGGATCTGCATCTGGTGCCAGATGGGACCACGTATGTGCCAATGTCTTCAGTCCTCTTCCACCACTGATGCTCACAAGTATCTGATTGCCCAAATGGTACCTTGCCTTGCCTGCCATTGCCACCAGTGTGTCATTGTTCTCTCCTCTCTGCCTGGCAAATTATCAGACTCAGTTCTAATGTCACCTGCTATGCAATACCTTTTCTGATTTCTTGCAAATTAAGTTAATTATCTCTATCTCTCACTTCCTTAGACTTGATTTCTATTGTTTCAGACTTTTGAGATTTTTTTCTTCCTGTTCTTAAATTGTTTAAAGACAACGACCTTATACTTAATTCCTAACAGCTGGCATAATACCTTCTGCAAAATGCATATTCCCAGTGATGACCTTTTATTGTCATTATCATTACAATTATTTTATTATCATTGTAAGCTCAGTAATGGGGTTAAAGATCACTTGTGAGTGTCAGTTGCTTTGATTCCACAGCAAGAATAAAAGTAGAAATATTCATTATACACCTTTTTGATCCTTTAAGATTGGCACCAATCAAGCTAGCCAGTTATCTGTTTGCCCAGGACTAAAGAGTTTCCCAAGGCCTGGTATTTTGAGTGTCAGGTACACCAAGATGGTCTAGTGCAAAGGCGCTGTCATATATATATATATATTTATACACACACACACACATATACACAAACTATATATTTTTACACACAAAAAATGTGTACATACATAAGTGTATATGTACACAAAACTATATATATACATATATATGTATATGTGTCTTATATATAATATATATAACTCATGCATAGGTTTTTCATGGTGTACAGAGTTATTTGCTCCTGGAATCCAAATTCTAGTTAAATGCCTTATGGTGGCCTGCAGGACTAGATATGTGGACTGATGTAGCCCATGCTTTGCTCTCCGTCTAAACTAGAAACACTCTATCTACTCTTTGGTATACTTCCAGCTGACAGCCTTCTGCCTATTCTTAAAAAGAAATAGAGAGGGAGAGAGATTGAATGAAAGGCAAAATGAAAGAGATCCATCTGCTGATTTATACAGAGCTGGGCCAGGCCAAAGCCAGAGGCATGGAGCTTCAGGTACGTCTCCCACGTGGGTGGCAGTGAGCAAGTACTTGGGCTGTCTTGCCTCCCCGGGAACATGAGCAGGAATTTGTATCAGAAGCAGAGCAGTCGAAGTTACAACTGGAATTCTGATACAGAATCCTGGCCCTTCCTGTTTGTTCTTGTCTGTGCCAGCTCATATGTACCATGAGGCCTGTGTGCTGGCTGTTCCTGATGACCAGTTCATACTGTCACTCAAATCTCAACATGTTACCCTCTTACCCTTACTAACCTAAACTAAAGACACCCACCAATCCTTTCACATCACTTTATTTCCTTGGTCCTTAATATTGTCAGGTGTCTTCATTGTTTACCGAGAACTAATCTGAAAGATGCCCAGTAAATATTTGAAGATTAATTAATACATGAAGGAAAATTAAATGCTGGCTTAAGACTTTTCCATCTCACATTGATTTGGTCTCCCTGATAGATTTAGCATTTTTGGAAAGCAGAATCTATGTCTGTTACCTCTTTCTCCTATCGCAGTGCTAAATAGACACTCAGTAAAGACTATGTCTTGCCTTAGTTGCTTGGCTTAGCAGCTATAAGAGGAAATAAAACTGACTTACTGTTTCTGCCTAATAGAATATTAAAGGAAATAGTGGAGGGTGGTAGAATACTACCTAGGTAGTATTGGGTACTTCTTTTGCAGGAATTCTAGAGAAGTACCCACAGAAGTACCTGGCAGGGCAGAGTTGTTACAAGACCTCTGACTTTGAGGAAGAAAACATACTTTTATTTTTCTTGAAAATAGTCTACATTTTCTAATTCTGAAAAGTACAACATGCTCATTTTAGGAAAATGAAAGATACTGAAAAGTAGAAAAGGGCCTAGTAGGATGTGTTTAGCCAAATCCAACACCCTATTGTGACCAAAGTACTCTAACTGGCAATGGGAGGAAATATCACCTGAACCCCAGAGTGGCTCCTGTGCTCAGTGGTGGGGACCAGGATGCCTGCCCCCCTCCCTTCCATTCAACAGCAATAAGACCGGAATGTCTGCTCTCACTGCTTCTCTCTGGGATTGTACAGGAAGTTCTAGCCAAGGCAATTAGGCAATAAAATGAAATGAAAGGCATCCAGACTAGAAAGAAGTAAAACTGTTTGTTTTGCAGATAACATGATCATCTACATAGAAAATATTAAGGAATCCACAAGAAATTGTTAGAACTAGTGAACCAGATTAGCAGTGTTGCAGAATATAAGATGAATATGTAAAAGTCAGTTGTGTTTTTATGTATTTGCAGTGAACAATTCAAAAAATAAAACTAAGGAAACCATTCTATTTATAGTGTCAGCAAGCTTCAAAGCGTTCATGGAAATGTGGAATTAAAAGATAATGTGCATTGTCTGTGAGCGTTTTGAAACCCCTCAAAGTATCAAGAATAAAATACCTAGGAAAGAATCTAACAAAAGAAATGTAAATTTTATGCTCTGAAAACTGTAAAGCATGGTTGAAATGTATTAAAGAAGGTCTAAATAAATGGAAAAACACTGCCTGCTCCTAGGTTGGAAACCTGATGTCTTTAAGAAGCCAGTGTTCCTCCATTGTGATCAATTAACTCTACACAGTCCTTAGCAGAAGCCCAGCTAACTTTGTTTTAAATGGACAAACCAATCCCAGAAATCATGTGGAATTGCAAGGGACCCAGAATTCTTGCAAAAGAACAAAATGGAAGGATTCCCAACTTCAAAAACTTACTGCACAGCAGTAATAATAATAATTATTATATATATCTCACTCACAGTGGATATTTTTGAAAATCCAGAAATAAAACCAAGTATCTGAGGCCAAATGAGTTTCAACAAGGGTGCCAAGATCATTGAATAAGAGAAGAATAGTCTCCAATAAATGATGCTGAGACATCCAGTTGGATATCCATGTGCAGAAGAATGAAGTTAGACCTTAGTTCACATCACACACAAAATGAACTCAGAATGCGTAAAAGGCCTAAATGTAAGAACTGCAACTCTTAGAAGAAAACGTGGGACATGATAGTGGATTTGGTACTGATTTCTTAGAGATAGTCCTGAAAGCACATCCAGCAAAAAAAAAAAGTTTGTCAAAATTAAAAACTTAGGCCTCACGGGATATTATGAAGAAAGTGAAAAGACACCTCCAGAATGGAAGGTGATAGTTGCAGATTGCATTTTTGTTGAGTGGCTGGTATCCAGAATAAATGAAGAGCTCTTGCAACTCAATACATCACAATTATCCCAATTTTTAAGACAGCACAGTGTCTGAATAGATAGTTCTCCTAAGAAGATAGATAAATGGCAAACAAGAACATGAAGAGATGCTTGTAGTCATTAGCCATCAAAAACATGCAAATGAAAATCACAGTGAGGTTTCACTTCACGCCCAATGGGATGTGTAGAACCAAAAAGTCAGATGATAGTGATGGCAAGAACATGGGGGAAAAATCGGAGCCCTCCACATCGCTGGTGGCGATGTAAAATGGTACAGCCACCTTGGAAAGCTGTCTGACAGCCCTTCACAGGTTAAACAGAGTCACCATGTGGCGCAGCAGTGTCACCCTTGGCAGACATCTACCCAAGAGAAATCAAAACATGTCCACACAACAGCTTGTGCATCCATTTTATAGGAGCATTACTCAGTTATAGCCAAAAGGTAGAAATAACCCAGTTGTCCACAGGCAAATGGGTAGACAGATTGTGACACATCCATGCAGTACGCTGTGACTTAGTCCTGAACTGGAGTAAAGTATTACTGCATGCTGCCATGAGGATGTGCCTTCCATATGCGAGAAGCCAGGCACAGGAGACCACGTGTTGTATGATGCCGTTTACCTGAAATGTCTAGAGTAGGCAGCTCCATAGGCAGCGCCGGAATCAGTGGTTGCTAAGGTTGGGGTAAGTTGGAGGTGATAGCAGAGGGATGCATTGTTTCTTTCTAGAGTGAAGCAGGTGTGCTATTATCACCTATGATGCTCACACATGTCTAGGAATATGCTATACTCCACTGAGTTGTATGTTTTAAATGGGTGAATTGTGCATGTGAATTATATCTCAAACTTAAAAAAAAAATAAAGAATGCCTTAGATGGGAGATTATGGTTTTTAAAACGTTTCTTTTGAGTAGTATTATTATTTGTTAATTTGAGAAGCAGAGATGTAGAGACAGATATACAGAGAGGTATATACAGAGAGAGAGAGAGAGTGTGTGCACGGGCGCGTGCTCTCCTACCATGGGTTCAATCCCCAGCAGCCTGGGCCAGGTTAGCTCCCAAGCCAGTACTTGGAAGTTCTTTCTGGATCTTCCATATGGTTGGCAGGATTTCATTGCCTTGAATATCACCACCACCATCTACCAGAGTCTGCACTGGCAAGAAGCTAGCTTGCCTCTTCACTTGAAAGCTACACACCCATCCCAGTTCCTTCCCAGTCTTTTAAAATATTTATTTTTCGCGTAACTGTTGTAATGCTTCCTCTAGCATGTTGAATGTCACCTTTTGTGTTTGTCATTCTGACCAGAAGAATTTGTCGACCCTATTACAGACTCTCGTAATTGTTAGCAAGCATATAATATTCCAATTAAATATACCCTCAAGTAGTTATTTCCTCCGTAGTAGGCATTTAAGTTGTTTTTCCCCCTCCTGTATGGTGAGCACTGTAGCAAATTAGGTTTAGTTTTTTGGTTTTTGGGGGTTTTTTTTTAATGTTTTTTTCTCTTTAAACACTAAGACTTCCCACACGAAACTGCGTTTGTTTGCAGGGAAAAGAAGATCTCTCGGAGCAGTGCATTGAAAGTGCTAGACCATGCCATGATTGGGCCTGAGGGCACCGACAACTGCCACAAATTTGTCGACATCCTTGGCTTGCGAACCATCTTCCCCCTCTTCATGAAATCTCCCAGGAAGATCAAGAAAGTAGGAACCACTGAGAAGGAGCACGAAGGTAAGGCTTGCTGGAGGAGTTGGCCTAATTTAGGCGTGGCAGGAGAGAGGGCCGAGAGACGGCCGCTTGACCAGCCTCTGCCATGCTCTGAGGGAGCAGATACCCAAAGGAAGTTCTTGCTATCCTTTCCTTGTCCATCTACTGGTTTCCCACCCTGCGGAAAGCCACCCTGAGGCCCCAGGGTACTGCTGGCTGCCTGTGCTTGTGGCCATCCTGGTGGTCCCATTTCTTTGTGGCCTGTTAATAATCCTATGTGTGAAGCGTTTGTTTCCTTCGAGGTAATTTGTGGCAAGGTGTCTCTCTGATGGAAGACCCTTTTGAAAAGAGTAATGAGGTGGCAACACATGTCACCTCCAGAATGGCGCTTTCATGTATTTCTGTATTAAAGTATGATTCAGGCAACATCAGGAATTGCCGAAATAAACCATTTACAGCCCAGGCGCCCCTTTTTTTATGTTTCTCCTCCCCACTGGTACACACTCCCAGCAAAATGCTGCCATGAATTGTGACGCTGTAACCAGAGTAGTTACTGCCACACCAGTCTGGTCCTGCTATTGTCTGACGACCTGCTCCGTCCACCCACACCCGCCACTAACAGCCGCAGTGCAATCTGGAAGGCTGGGGATTGATGAATGTTGACAGGTCTGCTGGAGGACTCTCGCGCTAGGGGAAATTTACATGGTGGAATGGTTATTCTAAGGGGTGAGAAGGACACAGGTCAGGGAGAGGAGGAGGACTGAGCTGATGGCCACCCACTTTGCCAGTCTCATCACAAGGAACGGTCGTCTTGTGGCGTGGGGGATGCGTCTCCTCGGTGATTGGTAGACTTGGCAACTGTAATCTGCAGGATCTTTTGCATGGCTCACCCTCCTGGGTGAAAGTTTGAGAGCTTCTTTCTGTGCCTTCTGGAATCAACCTGGCTGAGTATCTTGCAACTTGGATTGGCTAAAGGGAGAGTGGTGTGACCTGTCTCCAGCGGTGGTCACTTCTGCAAACGCTGTCTCAGATCAAATTAACTCAGCAGAGAGTCTGGCAGTGCAAAAACCAGGGGCTGGAGAGCTGAGAACAAGTAGTAGTAGACTTCCATTTTATTTAGCTCAAGATACTGACCACACACGAGCTGTGAGCTTGCCAAAGCCTCTTGTGGGTCTCTGCTTCCTTCCCCAGTGTAATTCAGCCAAATGAAATCAGGGCATCTTGGAGGTCCAGAAGGTAAAATTATGCCGTCACGGTTCATTGACACCCCAGCACATCCCTTGCATCGCTGAATTATTTAAGATCTGATTTAGGCCTCGGGGCCTGTGGAGTCAATGGCGGTTTCCTCGATTTTGTGGATGAGGAAGTCAGCTGAGAAAGGCACCAACTGTGGTTCTGCTGCTAATTAGCCGTGTGACTTTTGATCTCTCTCCAGCGCCCCCAGCTTCACTCCTTTGTACTGCATTACCCTTCTGGTCAGTAGAAGAGAGCTGGACTGGGGAGGTAGAAGCTCTGATGTCTAGACCTAGAGGCTGTGAGTCCCTGGCCCCTGTTGCCAAGGTTGTGCTGTGAGCCTGCACTGTGACTAACCGGCAGCTTCTGCCGGACCCTTGGTGCTGTGTGTTGAGCTTGAAGAGAAATGGTCCCCTAGCAGATTCTTGCTCTGTGTGTGTAGTACTGAGAAGAGGAAGTGACAGATTTAATGAGCAGCTGTTTTGCTTCTGAACAATGTGCCCGGTGGCATGCTGGCAACAGTACATTGCCTATGGAGCACCCACATTAGGAGTCTGATGACTTTGTGTTAGTGAGGGCAATGGCTTGATAACAGCTCCTGGAAGGCATGTTTGCACTGTAGTGACTGCTAAGGACGAGCTCTACTTTCTGACTGTACCAGCACCCAAATAGCAGAGCAGAACCCCAAGAAAAATGTGCCCTGCCATCGCTGCCAACTGCTGCTGCTCCTGGTGAATCAACCCTCAGGCCCAAGTGCTGGGCTGGGGATGGAGGTGGGGCGAGGCATGCTGGGCAAGGTTTCTTAGACCTGCCCCATCCTCTGAGTAGGTCCTGTGCTCTCAGCGGCTCTCTGTGTGCTGGCCCTTCTGATAGAAATGCACTAGGTTGGTGCCGAGCCAGTGCACAGGAGCCTTGGCAGTCAGGGTATGCATCAGCAGGAAGTTGGAGTCAGGAGCTGGAGCTGAGCACTGAGCCTGGCGCTTCTCTATGGGATGCAGGCATCTTAACTGCTAGGGTGGAACTAATGAAGTGGACTGTTGGTCCCAGGACTTTGCCTTCACTGGCCTTGAGATTATAGACTCAGGACCTCATCACCTGTGGCTCCTGCTGCCTAGCATGCACAGCCACTGTCAGTTGCCTGTATGAATGAAGAGCAGCTTCCTCAAACTATGCTCCTTGGGAAGACATGTGGGTTCAGAACTCCTCTGCACCCCATGAAGCAGAAATCAATGCAGTTAAATGGACTCAGGTTAATGGTTGATAACCATATCGTGGAGTGAAAAGTCTTTCCCCAAGTTGGTTTGGAATCAGAGATAAGCAGGTTGCTGGCCATAATTTTGACTTGTTCACGTTGACAGGGAGATCATGGCAGAAAATCCCTTGAGAACCACATTGTGTGCAAAACTTCTAATTGGTAAAATCACCCTTTGCTGTGCTGCTTTGCATAGTCCAACTTCTGTGTACACACCAAAGGCTGGGAATCTGCTTGCCAGGCCAGAGCCCAACTGCTCCCCTTCCTATCTGGTCAAGACTCAGAGCTGCCCATACATCCTGGTTGGCCTCTGTACGTCCATCCCAGTCCAGTCCAGTCTGTCTCATGTCTACTCCCTGTCACCTCTCACGACCCCAGGTTCCTGTGGAAGTAGCTAATGGATTAGCTGCATAGCTAACCCTGTAAACTTGGGTACATTACCACTGCTAAATCTCAGCTCCCACATCTGTGAAACAGTGAGAGAAGGGTCTGCCATACAGGGTGGTTGTGAGCGAGAGTCTGAGAAGATAGCATCTGAATGTTCAGCATGGGCCCCCGGATATATAGAGACTTCTGAAATTTTAGTTCTCACAGCAGCAAATCTGCCTCTACTTCTGCTCCCCCGGCCTTCTGAGGGGTGAGGGAAGAGGCCAGACGGGGACTGCCCACACCTTGACTGCATGAGGGCTGGAAGAGTCTGCAGGGGTCCAGAGATGACTGACAGTGAGCAAACCCATTCTTACTGAGAATATCAAGAGCCATAACCTGCTGCATAGTGGGGTGGGCTGAGCAGCTGTGCTCCCAAAACCAACAGGAGGGGTCTGGAGAAGAGAACCGCTTGATTAAAGGTGGCCCTGGGGCTAGAGTGGAGAGGGGAAAGAGCAAAAATCACCCTTAAACCTAGAATTGCTGGTAATTTAGTTCCTCTCTCCAGAGTTGGGGTGGAGAAGGAAAAGAATTAGTGTAATTGAAATCCATTCAGGTTTGCATAATAAAGCCTTCAGAATAGATCAGGGTAGGCCCTTCGCTTGGGGGATGGGATGGAAAGAAATGATTTGCCCATGGGTGCAGTGGCTGCCTCCTTGGTTTCAGAAAGAACAGCAGAGAGTCTGTATTGTCGCCTGGGTGTTAGCTGCTACAGAAAAGGTGGCTAGGAGAAGAGAGCTGGGAATCCAGAAATGGCATCTGACCTTTACTTCTTGTCTCCTTCTGAAATTCTTATTAAAATAGGTCCAATTTTCCTTGGATTGCCTCATTAGGTAGGTGAGTTATTGAGTTTGTAGCAGTTCTAGTTAATTGCACTGTTTTAACATGGTCCCCCTGGAGGCTGTTACGAGCTTCAAGGGAGGGAGCTACCAAGCAATGTGTAGGTACGCAGTGTGCATGTTAGGAAGGCGCACACATTCTTATCACCAGTGACAGCAGTTGATAGCAGGTCAGTTCTTTAAAGAATAGTTTTCTGTCATCGGCTAAGAATTCTCAGCGATTCTGGTGGATGCGACGTGTCGGGGAGCATGGTGTTGCCTCGTGCTTTTTCAGGCTCCTAGCAGTAGGGTTGTAAGCCAGAGCTCCCAGGCCACCTTAGGGGCTATAAAGAAACACCGTTGAGGTCTCTGGTGGGTGGTGGTAATGCTATGGCCTTGTCTGGAGTCCATGTTTATTGGGGCTCCTGCTGCATTCCCATGTAACAGGCCCTACCCAAGACAGGGTCTGTGAGGACAGCATAAGGTGAAACTTCTGTGCTGGGGGACTGTGCTTTTCTGGCCTCCTCCAAATCTTCTTCCTCTGCCCGCACCCTCTTGTGTGCATTTTCTTCAAGACTACAATGTCTAGCAAGGTTCTTTTTTTTTTTTTTTTTTTGTCCCCCTCCTCATACTCTGTTAGCTTTAACCTCCATCTCTACCACTACTGTCCCCAATTTTTCACCTGAGGTTTCTCATAACCTGCACACAAGTCTAGCATAGATCCACCCTCAGCTTGTCCAAAACCATAGCTGTTTCTTCAAAGCCTCCAGTTTTTTCTGCTTCCCTTCTTCCAGACATTGAAGCCTCTTGCTTAGCACTCATGCTTCCTGCCTCACTGATCAGAAGTCCCATGAATTCACCTTGGAAAAGTCTCTTGGCTTGGTCCTCTCCATTGTCACTGTCTCTGCCCTCATCACCGTTTCCCAGCTTCTCCAGAGCCTTAATCTGTCTTACCTGGTCTCTGAATTCCCATGCCCTCTTTTGATGTCCCAAAGCCAGTGCCCAGGGCTTTGAGAGAGACACTCCCAGCCTGCAGCAAATTTATACTTTCAGGAAAGAGAAACTGTACCACAGAAAATGTACCAGCAATTCTATAAACAGACCAGACAAGAGTACTTCATTGTAAAAATGTGAACAAGAGATTGAGAGTGCTCAGAGAAGGTGACATTTTTGATGAAAAGGAGATGCTACAGGTTGAAATAAAGGACCTGGAACTTGGCCAGCCAGGTCGTTCGGGACTGCCCCTATTCAAGCATGTGTGGGCATGGCTTTATGCAGCTGATGGGAGCTACACC